ACCCCCACTCAAAAAAACCATTTCGGTACAGTCACCTGAACACGATAGCCGTCCCCCCCCCCCCCCCCCCCCCCCCTCTCTCTCTCTCTCTCTCTCTCTCTCTCTCTCTCTCTGCGCGCATGTGTTCAAATTACAGTGAGAAAAGATGCATCAAGGTTATCAAAACGTTGGAGGCCCCGATTTGGCTCAGTTACAAGACACGATGCGGGCCATCGAACTCGCTTGCAGTTCCATTGAGGTTTCCTTTTCTCTCTCTCTCTCTCTCTCTCTCTCGCTCGGTCTGTCTCTATCTTTGTCCGCATTTATGTGTATCGGATTATTCTAATAAGTTGGAAGAAAGAATGTGTATGTAATTTCAATCTTATATGTTTGGTTGACGAGAAACCGGAGGAAGTGGGAATTATTTTTTAAGTGCTGCTTTTTAATGAATTCTAGTTTCTCTTGATTTCTCGGGCATTGCTTGGGCTGAGTGAAGTAAAACTGGCTACCTAGAAAGATTGTTTGGATATTCAAACATTACATAGCCAGTCCTATTGTATAAGTTGGAAAATCAAAGAAGGGTCCATTTATTCACACCTATGTGATAGGATCAAAGCTTTCACATTTAAATTTCAGCTCCAGTTCCCTATTCAAAGATTTGTTTCTGGTAGAATTGTCGATGTCGTATTCAGAAGACAATCTTCCCTCTCACACAAACGCCAATATCCAAACACCCACCAGCAGGCACATTCGAATGAATTGAATGAGGGTACTTGTGCAGCTCGAATATTTGACCAATTCTATTATATTGTTAGAGTAACATCTTTGATTCAATTACATGACATCTTGAATCAATGATTGAGTTGGTTGCATGACTTTAATTTTTCCCACATGAAAATATATTAGTTTGTTATTGAGAGAGTTGTACCTAGTGGCTCTTTAATTGGAATAACCAAGAAATAAGATTACCCAAATACATTGTCTTTGAGTTTTATTCCTAAATACCCAATGATCAAAACCTTGAAGGGAGATCAAAGTAGTAAAATGGTAAAGAAACTCATAGATCTAAGTTGGAGATGGGCTTGATTTATTGCTTGATTTAGCACATCTGTATTGTGAGGTTTGAAGTGCTTTAGCCTTGATAATCCCAAAAAAATGAGATTATTGTACTCTCTCTCCCTTTCCCATTGTATATGTCCGTGTATGTTTGTACATGTTGAGCTATAAGCATGCATGAAAACAAACACCCTTATCGTCTTCGGTTTATCTTTAAGCAGATGCATGCCCATTCGACAACTGCTGAGGCAACTATTTTATCACTCTGCCAATCTCCTCGTCCATACAAGGCATGTCAATTTATTCTTGGTAAGTTTATGATACTTTGGATGTTTGACATAACTAGACACACGGCCTATTTAAGAGTTATAACATCCTTAAAGATGCTGCTTTGGCATTTCTAACACAGTGACCCTAGATTAACTTGATTGAGGGTTTTATTTCGCTTGGTCTAAATCTGGAGCTTGCAGTGGCCGGAAAAGGTGTCCAAAATCGGCTTTTTCTTATTTTTTGGTAAAACAAAGTACAATTATTGGCATGACTCTAACATAATTGTAACGCTCCAAAAACCACCTTGGACGACATTACAATTTAAAACCATTCACATTATGAGAGCAACTAATAAAATTTATCAATAAATAAAAATTCCTTCATCATATCTAATATTTACAACATCATCCCAAAAGAATATGCCCAACCATGACAATTACATTCAAAAGAATCTAATTTAACCTACAGCGGAATATAACAAAAGATTAGTCTTTACATAATCTCAAAAGAAATTTTCTAGTTTAGCACTTAGGAGAGTATAACCCTAAGCATCCACCTCGGGATCCAAGTGCCCGTCTAGCGGAGCTTCCAAATGCACCTGCTCATCGACTCCGAGCTCCTCATCTAACTCGTAATCTGAAAAATATATTGTTTGTAGGGGGTGAGCACTAAGCTTTGTAGCAACATTCCTCCCAAACTCGAACAAGGTTTAGAAAACGTATAAAGCAAGTCGGTCTCATTTTGCAAATATCATATATCAATTTTTGAAATAAAACTGGGACATTTTAGCGGATCTCAAGTTTACGTAATAGCAATAATTTAAATGAACAGTAAAATGAATTTTTCAACAATAAACCATTTTTCACAAGTTCTTGTAGAGTCTCATACCTCCACAAGCTCTTGTAGGAAACTAATTCTGGTACAATAAATCATAAACCCACAACTTGTATTCGTATTTCAGGTATGATGCATGATTCGCATGAATAAATACATCGAGAATATCCTAACCCACACACACACACCCAAATTCTCGTAAGGATATCCAACCTTTAGGAAGGGCGTATACCAACTCATGGCAGTGACGAATCCAACCCAAGAATAGTATACTACCCCTTCTCCTTGGTACCCGTGAGCGAATAGTGGTTTGGTCCTCACAAGGCACCAACCCCACTACGAGTGATAGGAAACCTTCAAACCCACACGGAATAAGAAACGCATCTAACCTACTCTATGATATCCAATCAACGGCCAGCCATAGTCATCCAAACATCCACAAGAGATACAATATCCAATCAATTTCTCCAATCACAATTACATTCAAAAATTTCCAAATTTCACAAATAGTATCCCAATAGAATAAATTAAGAAAATATGTAAGAGATCATCATAAATACTATTTTGTGATTAAATATAAAGCACTAAAGTTTTGAAATCAAGAACAAATAAAAAATCAAGAGAAAAATTCATTTTTCTTGAAAATTAGGGTTTTGAGTCAAGAGGAAGAGATTTAATAGTTATCCCACCATAAATGTATTTAAAACATGATAGTGTTTGCAAGAATATCAAGAATCAATGATTTACTAACAAATAAATAAGATTTAGAGTCAAAAGAATACATATAAGTAAACCCTAGCCTCAATGTAAGAGAATAGGAAGAAACCCCTAATTTGGTGTTCTTGAAAAACTAGGGTTTTAATCTTCTTGAGGTGGAAATCCCTTTTGATCTTGTGTTTTTCTCTTCCTTTCTTCCCCTCTAAGGTTTTCTAAGGTTAGAGATGTTGAAGTGGGGCTAAATGGGACGTCCTTAGATATTTATAGTGGAAGGAAAGTCGACTATTTGCGGCTTAAAATTTCAGATTTTTCGAAAACCTTCCGGAAGGTTTTTCATCGACCTTCCGGAAGATTTGCCTATTAGTCAAACCTTTTCATTAACCTTCCAGAAGGTTTCTCATCGACTACATTTTCATTAACCTTCCGGAAGGTTTGTCTACTGGACAAACATTTTCATTAACCTTTCGAAAGGTTTGTCATCAAACTTTCGGAAGGTTTTGCCTATTGGATAAGCCTTTACCTTAACCTTCTAGTAGGTTTTCATTGACTTTCGAAAAGGTTTTGCTTGTTTTTCTACAAATCTTCCCTTCTTCATTTTCAATCCATTCCAAGCCCTTCCAATTCCAATTGAAACTTATATAATATACTTTTGTACATCAAACCTAGTTGGTATAAGTTCTATTACAACGATTTCATATATTTGCAAGTTAAAACTAAGTTTTAACTACTATTTACTCGAATTTTATCATATTCATCTTTAAAGAAATAATTACTTGCTATTTATACCTATATACATAGATAAAGATAATAGTGTGGGACTTACAATAATCTATCTATGTAAGCTTCCAAACAAGTATCTAAAATTATTACTAAATGAACCTTTCACACGAGTCACAACCATATTCGAGTCCCACCCATTAGGATGAAGGCCATTTGCTTTTGATAACCTTATGCCACAATGGCCCATGTTCTATTGGAAATCTCCATAACCACATTCCTAGAAAGGCATTATTTTTCTTTACTACATTCCCCACTCTCAACCCCTTTTATTGTTAGTTCTAGTCACAATATACCATCTTACTAAATGGTCTTTTCTCCCTTTTCCATTCCCCTCCCACAAAAAATTCCTCATTAACTTCTCGACTCAACGGGCAATTAACTTAGGAATCTTAAAGATTGATAGATAATAAATGGGTATACCTTTCTCTTATTTCTTTCCCATGCACGAGTCTATTGTAAGATCTGAGGAGGGTCAAATATATATAGCCTTAGATTAGAATTAGTTATTAATTAGCTCTCTGTTGAATTCTCCATTCGGTAGCGGTGATAGCTTGTAGAAGGTTTGGTTTCCTACTTTATGCGCACAAATGCATAGAGAGATATATTTCTCCTTCATAAATATGTATGTGCAACTAGCTTCAGCTAGGGCAAATGGTATTTTGTACTTTGAAATCCTTTATGGAGGTAACAACAGATGAGGCTTGTGAAAGTTCTACATGGATGGTTTCGATGACGACATGAAATCCTTTCTAGAGGCTGCGAAGATTGGAGGAATGCCAATCGTGTTTCTCAGTTTTTATTGACAAAAATGGAGTATTCAATATGGATGTGACATCTTGTATGGTTAGTTGTGAAGATCTGCGAAGGAGTTTAGTAGGGAGATTTGGTTCACTTAAATTGAAAGCGCCATTGATTGGGAAAGTAATTCGATAGGCAAACTCAAAATGGGGGTCGATTGGCCTCAAAGTTATTCTAATGGCCAATTCACTCTTTATGTTTGTTTTTCACTCACTGATAGAAGCAACGAGAATTTTGTATTTGCAAGATTGGTCTTTTAGAAGGTACTATTTTGTTTCTTCATAGATGGGTACAATGTGCATGTGGAATAAGTGTGGCAATGGAGAATATATGGATTTGAGTGCGCGGAATTCCGGCACATATTCAATGCAATGATTTATTTATCGCCCTTGGTAATTATGTTGGAGAATTTATGGAGATTGATGATGCTACAAGCCTACAACATGTGAGGATACGAATAATGCCAGAATTGTGGTTAGAGCTTTGGTTTTTTCCATTCCATCTACCATTATAGTGAATGCCATTAAGGTTAATTGTGCTCTTCCTGGTCTGCGTTTAAGCTGGCCATGGTGGAGAAGAATAGATCAACACACAATCTAGTTTCATCAGTTAAACGAGGTGCAATTTTTAGTAGGCTTAGGAACCAGGATGGCCAATCATGGAAGAGGAGAAACAGAGATGGTCGGCCATGGAGTTTGGAATGGAGGAAGTTGCGGGAAAATAACAGGGATTTGGGGAAAGAAAGGAGAGATGTGTGTAGACAAATTGATAGATTTTCAAAATCAAATTCAAACCAAAATTCCAAATACCCTAATCTCGGTTTTAAAGCAAGGGAGTTAAATGGATGGAGGCTTCTAAAACCAACAATTGACCAGAATTTAAAGTCAGAGGAACCAGTTTTTAATGTTGTGAAGTCAAATGGACAACATTCTTAGAATGGGCCTCAGCAAATGGGCCCAAAAGCTTTTAATGTTTTAGTTAGAAGGTCTACAACAAGCGGGATGCTAAATGGGCTTAATTTATTAGATGGGCTGCGGGTTAGGGGTGGGTTGTACAATCCGAACAATAAGATATTGCATGGATCTAGAAAGATCCAAGTTGAAGACCCGAAGAGGACAATCTGGAAAAAAATAAGAAGACCTATTCCCTCCTAGTAGTTTTTGTGTGAGTCCACTCAACACTTCGCCTAGCAATCCTCCGACGTCGTTTGACGAAACCCATGTGTCTTGAGATCTCGATGAAGGAGGGTGATGTATATCGTAATAGTTCTGATATCAAATTGATGTAGATCGTAATAGGGAAGAATTATGAATGAATAGGGAAAAATTATGAATGAGAAGGGAAGAACAAAGGGATGAAGAAAGAGAAAGAATTTGAGAAAGAAACAATATTAGTATTCAATAATAATTAAAGTCTAGTCTCCATAAAACCCTTATATGCATTCCTTTATATTGGGAAACTAAAACCCTAAAACAAATAAATAATAATGACAAATAAACCATCAAAAGTTACAGAAAAATACTTAAAAGATAAATACTAAATTACTCTTATGATTAATCTAAAATATCTATCCAATTCTTACACGATCCCCATCAGAGGGTGAGAAGTCTGTCTTTGGGAGGCAAGCAGGTGAAGCCAACAAATCTGGAGAGGTGATATTGTCTTACAATTGCGTGTTACCTATAGTGGGAACTCTTCCAACGAGGGAGATTGAAGACAGTTAATTGATCCATAATTCTTCTACATGTAATGGGAATGTTTATTTATGTAAATTGCAAATTAAAGGTGGGGAGCGGTAGGGTTTTGATTATGTCAAAGCTTAAACGGAAAAGTTAGCGATAAAGAAAAATTAATGGAGATAGAAACTGTTTATGATTTTGAGGATATTGATAATTTCTTGCACTCTGATGGTGATTTATTAATAGTGGGGTTGTGTGAACATGATGATGCTTCCTATATGTCAGAATCACCAATGATGGAAGGCGCAGGAATGAGTATATTTGATGGGGAGATTGACATAAGACTAGTGGGAAGGGCTAGTAATAAGAGTAAGGGAAAAAATGCTTCAATGGTGTCTCCGGCTGATATAAGTTAAAGTGTAAATTGGGTTGAGATAACAACTACGCAAAAGTCGGGGTTTGGGAGTTTTGTTCATTACTCTTTGCCATTCAAATGTCTTTAAAATTTGCGAGTAATCTCATCTATTCCTAATTTCTATCATCATGCTAATACTTTTTATGAGAATGAAAATGCTGGGACTTTTGTGGTGAGCATGTGTTCTAGTTTGGGACTTTCACCCAGTCTTTGGGGGGTATGATAGAAACAAAGTTACCTTTATGCCAAGAGGAGATAGGTTGTGGGGAGGACCAACTAATTGTAGACCTCCTTGGGGATGGGGGAGACAACCAAGTGGCACAAACTCTCTCAGAGAAAATGGGTTTTAAGTTGAAGCTGGTTAGTCCTATAGAGGAGGAAATTAAAGTAGGAGTGTCACCTCTAGTATATAGAAGGGGAAGTAAGTAGGGTGAGAGGGAGTTAAAGAATCTACAATGTGAGTTTAATTATGATTACTTGATTAGTTGGACTATGAGGGGATTGGAGAGTTGGAGGAAGAGAAAAATGATTAAGGAAGTGTTTCTAAGAGCTTCTCTAGACTTAGTTATGTGTTAGGAGACAAAGTTAGAGGCGATAGATAGGGTTCCAGTTAGGAGTATTTGTGAGTCCATATTTAAGGATTGAGTTTTTTACATTCATGTAGATCTTCTGGGGATATTGTTGTGATATGGGATACTAGGTTTGCTATTAGGATATATTGTGTTCTTGGCTCCTTTTTTGTGTCGGTTTTACTTCTACAGTGGAACAGATGTTGTAAATTATTCCAAGTGATTGGTGAGACTTTAGTTTGCCTTTCCATAGTGGAACAAATGTTGTAAATTAAGTTTTGGTGTTTTAATAATAAAAAAGAGGCGAAGGTATTATGGAATTGTAGGTTCATGGCAACTCTTTGGTATATTTGGATCGAGAGAAATGTAAGAATTTTCAGTAACCATTATCTTCCTTCTAAATTAGTATGGGAAATAATTGTTTTTATGGCTTCACTTTGGTTAAAAGCCATAGGAAGTTTTGAAAGTTTGCCTTTATTGGATCTTCAACGGAATTGGTAGACGACTTTATTTTAGTTTTTTTCGTTAAGACTTTTCTTTGATATGTATGTAGTTTTTATTCATTTTGAGGATATTTTGTCCTCAATATTGTAATCCTTTTTCTTTCTTCCATTCTATAATAAAATTCTTCTTTTATAATAAATAAATGAGTATACTATCCAAGACCGACTGGACTAGTGTAAGTCTTCTTCGAGATAAACACTCTTTTCCACCATCTAACCTTTTTTGATTCCTTTCAATAACCGGATTTCAAAAACTCACAAATAAAGGTTTTCCTCCTAAAGGCAACCCCAAATATTTCAGGGGCCATTCATCAACCTCACATTCTAATCCTCTAACAGCCCTATGTAGAATCTCCCTTTGAACATTAATCCCAACCACCGTACTCTTGGACATTAACTTTCAAACTCGACATGAAACCAAAGGCCTTAATGATCTCTACTAAATTTTGAAATTTTCCTTCATCTCCTGAAAGGAAGAATATGGTATCAAATCTCTACCCAATCCCTACCCACCCTAAAACCCTCAATGATATTAGACTCCCTAGCTCTTTTAACTAAAGAACTAAGCCCATCTGCAACCAAAGTGAATAAGAATGGTGACAAAGGATCTCCTCGCCTAAGCCCTCTAGAAGCATTAAATCTACCTCATGGTTTCCCATTAATCAATACTGAAAAATTCATCGACTCTAGGCACTCTGTAATCCACCTCCACCATCTACCTCCAAACCCCTTACCCTCTAAGACAAAATCCAAAAAATCCCAATTAACATGGTCATATACTTTTTCAAAATCAATCTTAAACACCAACCTTTCTTTTCCTTTAGCTTTATACTTCTCAACCACCTCATTGGCTGTTAAAACAGTGTCAATAATTTGCCTTCCCCTAACAAAAGCCCCCCGGTACTTTGAAATTGTATTCCCTAATACTTCTTTCAACCTTCCTGATTAAACTTTTACCAAAATCTTGTATAAGCTAGTCACCAAACTAATAGACCTATAGTCCTAAATTTTCAATTGTTTTTTTTTGGGATCAACAAATATTTGTAGCTTTATTATCATATACACACAATTCCATTATTAAAAAACTCCTTGAATACCTTCATCAAATCATTCGCCTCTTTCACCTCCATCTCCTCGGTCTCTCTAACCACAAAGCCCTCCCCTCATTAATAGGACACCAATTTAATCCTATCACTCCCGGCCTCACACTTTTATCTTCAAAATATAATTTCTAATAGAACTTAGTTATTTCCTCAACAATTCAACCTTTCTCCACCAAAATTACTCTGTTTTCCATTTCCAGCGTATTGTATTGTGTTGTTGAAATGCCTAAAGATTGTTAGACATAATCTTTAATTTGATGCATATTTTTAAGCATAAGCTGAGCTACGTTTTTATTGCTATTTTGGAGTTCATGCTGGTGGATTTTGTTATTGACACAACAGACTATGTGATCTCTTCGTACTAACACTTGCCTTTTTCCAGAGAATTCTCAGGTGGCCAATGCAAGGTTTCAGGCTGCTGCTGCAATTCGAAATGCAGCTTTAAGAGAATGGGGATTCCTCACAATTGATGAGAAAAGGGGCTTGATTAGGTAATTTTACGAATTGAAAATCCAACTGATATCCTGTATAAGCACATCGTTACTTTCATTCTATGGTGGCTAAATGGAGATATGTTTTATTATGTTTAAACTCTTCATCTGTACGCACCATAATTGCGCTATTTATCATATTGTAAGAGAAGTTCTCAACTGTTTTCTAATATCATGCTCTCTGCAATCAGATTACTGACTTTGCAAAGGAATGATTTTGCTGCAGTTTTTGTTTGTGCTTTGTGATGCAACATGCTAATTCACCCGAGGGCTATGTCCAATCAAAAGTTGCTTCTGTGGCTGCTCAGTTGATGAAAAGGGGCTGGTGAGTTACTCATAATCTAAATTCTTACCTCATATTGTAGCCAGCAAGTATGCATGAATAGAAAACAGGCTAATGCCATCAGCTATAATTTATCAGCAATGTTGCAGGGGCTAAGGAAGCTCTCACATCTTTTGATGGTTGCAATGTGTACATATTGAATTAGATCGAAAATCTGACAGTATGTCACTATGATAGGCATGAGACATTGAGAAGTAGAGTTCATTGCATTTAAGAAAAATAAAAAGGAGAGTAGAAAAAAATTGTAAGTGAGGTCATCCAAAAAACTGAAAAAATAGGTAAAAAAAACGCTCTTGCGGCCTTTTGGTGGTCTTTAAATGTAATTAGTTTCTAGGTGGTGATGTGAATATTAGTAATTAAGGAAAGTTGGAAAACTTCAAGGTTCAAGTAAAGAAAGATATGGATTTAGGTCATAGTGATAAAGAGGATTTGCTTAGCCAGTTATAAGGGGCAGTCTCACAAGATAGTTGGACGTAGTTTCTTTACCTTCACTTCAAAGCTTTGATCACTTTGGACCAATGAATTGGGTTAGGACAATGGGGTGACGTTTTTAGTGGATCTTTCTTTTTTCTCTTTTCTTGGGTTAGTTACACCCATACCCTAGAGGATTCTCGATAAATTGCACGGATCTCTTTAGGTATGGAAAGTTGTCAGTAATGATTTCGAAACGGAAACAACAAAAAATGATGAGTTTGGCAATGTACTCCTTATGTGGCTAAATGTCATAGGGGTTAAAATCACTCATGACTTTTTGCCTCTATGACGACATTAAGTCTCACACGTAGTCTAAGCTGACACACACTCGAGTTTCTCACAGAATATATCAAACACAAGGCAGGAACCACGATTACAGGTGGTCTACCTACCCCAAAGGGTCCATCTAAGGCTATGCTTTACAAAATGTCTACCCTTTCTCCCTTGGGTATTCTGCAGACCTTAGCAAGGTATTTATAGGCAACTATGATAGTTACAATCCAACTGTCTAGGCTATGTCGGAGCCAACTAGGCCATGCGTTGACATCTGCAGCTTTTAGGTGTGTTGTCACAATGCAGACCACGCCGCACAAGTCTGTAGTGGTTATCCACAAACCAACAAGCCTCTAGATGCAATCAAATATGCAGGAGCAATTGATTCCTGGTGACCACCCAAATCGCTACCAACCGCTTGCTTGGTTAGAACAATGCCTTCCCTGTGTCCCCAACATGTTGCCATGCCTGTGCCACCGTGCCAAGCCTTGCCCAACCCATGGCTTTAAAGCATGCAAGAACGCCTTTGCCTTGCCTCAAAATACCCAATTGTATCCATGATATGCTTTTTTCCTCAGCCATGTGTGGGCTTTGGCTAGTGACAGGTTGCACCAATACATTGATCCCACATTTTTTTGGGTCTCAAACTTGCGTGCCTTGCTCACCGTTGGCAAGCTTTCTTTTATCGTGCCTTGCTTTGGCATGCCAAGTGTAAGGAGCATTAGGGTTTCTAGGCCAGGTGCCCCATGGAGCACTCTCCTTACGTATGCTTTAGAAAAGAAAACCTAAGTGCCATCAATGGACATCAGAGAGCTGAGGAATCATAATACAAAATTGCTGTTGCTTAGCATTTTTGCTTGATTAGCTTGACCATTGGCCTGTCGGCTATGCCTACGTGTACTGTCCAGCAACCAAACTTGTCAATCATCAACCAAAGTGTCTCAAACCACTTAATCACCTAAACACTCCCACCTTGATCTTGGCATGGAGAACTATTGGGCAAGTCACCCGCATTCCATGGCCGTGCCAAATTATCAAAGGCTAACAAACCACCCCCACCAAAAGAAATTGACATCCTTGTCTAGAGATTGTCCCAATACTCTTTGATCTTGTTTTTCAATTACCAATGACTAACATTCTCTTTGAATTAGCCTATGCTTCCGAGCCACTTTTCCATTGAACCAGAAAATCAGTATTGCCATTCTTCTTTGGTCCTCGGTCTTGTGAGGATGATCTTGCCGATTTCCTTATGAAACTTCTCATAACTTGTCTTCGTCTGGCATCAAGCAAGGCTTAATGATGAGGCTTCAGAAAACTCATATGAAAAGTAGAATAAATTTTGAAGCGATCCAATAGCTCCAAGCGATAGGCAACGTTTCCATCCCGATTCATCAATGCGAAAGGTTCAACCCTCGGTGCACTTTGTTGTTGTTTATCTTCTTCAAAATCTATGGAGCCAGTTTCGTCAAAACTTTGTCACCCACTTGAAATTTCAGCGGCCATCGATCTTTTGCATACTGCTTTATCCGTCAGACAACCTTGGCTAGACTATCATTTGCCTACTTAAGCAGCTCTTGATTGGAGCAAGTAAAGTAGTATGTAGTGGGACATTTATCTCCGGTCTTCATCTCGCCACTTCATGTGGCTTAAGTGGTTGTTGTCCCATAGCTAACTCTTAGGGACTCATGCGTCTTACAAAAATTCTGTGCAAGTTGTACCAAAATTGGGTTGTATCCAACAGATCCACCTATTTTTTCTGACTTGTCGTAACATAGTGTCGCATGTACTTCCTCTAACAATGCATTTATCCTCTCGACAAATTTGCAATGAAATCCATTGAATTTGACTGCCCTAGTCAGTCAGGGATGGGCATGGGTTGTAGCAATCCTGCCTGTCTTCTCCAACTTATCAAGTTGGTGGAGCCTCAACGTCATTTTCCATCTTGGCCCAAATAATAGGAACAAGACAACAATGCCACCATTCTCTCGATTCCAGGATGGCCAGTCCATTGAGAGTTGTGTTTCCAGCATCAACTCTTGCCTTAGTCACCTTATATTAGGGTATAGAGTATGCCTCCCATGGCATAGAGTAAGTCATAATCTAGTCAATTCTTGTGAACCAAACCCTCACTAAGGACTTGTTTGAGTTTGTAGCAAGTAGTGCCTCCAAATCTCCGAGCAATGCATTATTGCAGTTATCTCCTTCACATGCGACGAATAGCATTGTTCTGCATCTTTGAGCTTTCGGCTTGTAAAGGCAACGAGTGTCCGTCTTGGACTAGAACTCCTCCAATGGCTTGGTCAGAAGCAGCAATGTGCATTTCGAAAAGCAAATTGAAGTCTATAACCGCTGCATGTTTCAGCTTCTCAAAAACAGTCTGACAAGCATTCATCCAATCCCACTTTTGATCTTTCTTAAGCAAGTCAGAGAGTTTGTCTTCTTGGAGTACCCTTGGATGAACTTGTGGCAAACTGCCAAACCAAGAACGAGCGCAAGTCCAACACCTTGATTGCTAGAGACCAGTCCACAATTGCCATTACCTTCCTTGATCAAGTTCGATATGACCCCGACAATCCCCAACTGGCTTCACCTTCCTCGTCTGAGTTCGATACGGCTTAGTGCTCGCATCTAATAACAATACACGTTTTCTGAACAACATGAGTGTCACTTGAATTGGTCATGACTTGGTTACGACTCAGTTGACTCAACTTAATTAGGAGTCGTCTCGTTTGAATCGGAAGAGTTGTAATCAGCTCATAATTGATACTCGAAAATTGTTCAACAAATACTCGAACAAAATTGAAAGAAAAGGGGAATGAGAAGAAAGAGAAAGGAAAATCATGGAGCCCATATTTGCAAAACCTTCATACAACTTGCAAATTTACCCAATTCCATTAGAGAAGAACAAGAATTGTTCATTAGAGAAGAGCAAGAATTGTTCAGCAAACTGAAAAATTGATGTAATTGAAGGATTCGTAAACCAAATTTGCAGAGCAAAACCCTACCTCCAATAAAAAGCTTGAGAAGCACCACAAGACCTTTTTGTTCCTCTTTTTCTTCTTCAAGCTATTGTGACTAGCACACAAGCGGCATGGTTGGTCTCTTTTGTCTTCATTCCCAGTGACCTATGCTTAGATTCGTTTGCACTGAAGACATGATTTTCTTGGTCGCAGATGCGCGCTCTCTCCATCTATCTTTATCTTTGAAGACCAAAAGTCAGTAAAGTGACTTTGTTTGAGCCTCAATCTCAGAGCCATACTCTTATTGTTTAAAGCTTAAAATGTCTGGATATTAATATCCACAGTGAAGGACCATTTGCATTGAAAGAGTGCTGACCTCTATCTTCAATTTTCTTAAATGTCTTAGTTTTTATTTTTTCTTTTCGTAATTTATGTTTTAATTTGAGTAATTTTTTGGCAATTTCTTGCACATTGAATTAATATATTTATTAGCTTTTGTCTTACGTAATTAACAAATAATAATCACACTACATATCATACATGCATAAATGGTTTTTCTTGTTCTTAAATGCTTCTGATAAACACATTGATGAGGATAAATATTTTCGATAGCACCCTTATATTTCATTTTCATAGTGTTTAATGTTTATAGGGACATTTTACACATATGATTCACGAGTCTTGTTTACAATTTTTAGAAATTTTCATGAATGTTTCAGAATTTTTTGGTATTCTATTTAGCCTTTTATGCATATTGTTCGATACCATGGTGCGACACAGTAACCTATGTGTAATGTTCCCTTCAAGCCAATGGTTAGTAGTGCGACATTGAACATGCCTTTGCCCTACACCATTTTACTTATTTATATTAGAAACTGTTAGGATCATGCTTGTAATTGACTAATTTCGTAAAGTCTTTTTGTAAATTTCAACGTATTCCATGGTTATGATACTACATCATTGAAGATTCAAGAGCGTCAATATAGGGGAGGAGATTGTGCTTCAAGCTATATCAAAAGACTCTTTGGATGCACCTTCTTGTTTAGGATAAAGGTACTGACCTAAAGACTTGCACCTTTGGTTTAATAGGTAAAATAGAATTGGTGATTGTTTCATTAATGATTCTTAGGTATTTTTCACGAAAAGTTTTTCTAAACCTTAAATGTGTTTTGAAAATATAGTCTTGAGTCATTAATCGGACTTCACTAGAGTAACACCCTTTTGTGTTCAAGGGGATAAGTTGTTTCTTAGTTTCTAGCTTAAAAACCTATAGGAATTGCCCTATGTTCGCTAGCTTTCACTCAAGCTGTCTCTGAATATTTAAGTATAATATTGGGAAATAGTGCATGAGTGGGTAGTGAAGACCATTTTCTGGGTCGCTCTCAGGCTTGTCGAGCGGTTTTGAGATGGCTCGGGCGGTCCCTACTCTTCTGTCTTG